AGCTGCAGATATCTCGAACACATTCGCAAACTATATGCTGTTTAAAAACCCAATTTCAGAAATGATTATCGTGGTTTTGGGGGAGAGGGGGAGAGAAGTTAACAAACTATATTTCTAATGTGCGAAATTAAAAAGACCTCCAGCTCCACTTCCACATTTCATTACTTACACCTTAAGCACAAATAACCACACATTTTTTTTTCCTCCGGATTTATAAATCCCTTCTTTCATTATTTGGTAGATATTCTGGCCGTTTCGCCATCAATATCTGATATTATTAAAAGCAAAATCTTTCATCGGCTCCAATAGTTAGCAGTTGGACGAGTTCCAACTCCTGCCTGCACAGCCACACACTTAAAAATTAGGACGTAGCACCCTATACGATCAGAAAGGAAATAGCTGGAACCGGTGCCCTGCCAGCCGATCTAAACAAGCAAAAATTTAAGCCTTAATTATGAATGGAAAAGCAAGGGATTCGGCTGGAGCCCCAACCCGCAGGGCTAACTCTTAATGTACATCGAAGGTCCTCGGTTCCGAGCAGTGTGCTTCCCAATGAGAAAGGTCATTCCTCACAAACAGCGCAGAAAGGAAAAGTACCACCTACAGCAGACCCCAGCACCGAGACGAGACACGCTTTAAAAGCATATTGCAGGAAAAAAAAAAAATATAAACCCCACAGGAGGGAGAAAGAAGGAAAGAAAGAAAGAAGATAACTCCTAAGCTCCAGAGAACAGCACATTTGTGTTTACAGACCTGCTATGAAACCCTGCTCACCTAAGCTGATTTTCTTTTCATCTCAGCCCTTCCATTCCTTGCCTCCTCCCCACGAACTTACAAAATATTAGCAAACTCGCAGCCCGTTTGACATTGAGGGTGATCCCCGACTGAAATCATGGTTTTGACCAGTTTTATTTCAAGTACGTCATTTTAGGGAGTTGGAGCCACTAAAGTTATAAAATATGGCATCCAACGAGTTTGAAAAAACACTCGAATTTCATCCACCAGCCTGTTTAAAACGTTGTCTTTTTTGGAAACCCGGGTCACGTAGGTACCAGTGATGAAATAGTTTCTCCCTCTCTGGATACCAACCTGCAGCGCAGTCCTCCCAAATCCATTTTGTGCATTGACGTTTACATTCTTTTGCAACAAATTAGTAAGTTGCACTAGGTCCCCCTTGGCAGCCGCGGACGCCAGCTCGTTCCCAGAAGGCTCGGCCATTCTTTAGGGTGACTGACGATCGGAAAAAAGATGAGATTTTTTTTTTTTTTTTTTTTAACCAGGCAAGGCATCGGAGACTGACAGAAGGATTGGGATGGTTAATCTTCTGGAGTAGACCTTGTAGTAAATACTCGTAAAAAACCTCCTTGCCAAGAGCCCGCCCCTAACTCACACGTGATTATTCAGCAAAACTGCAGCTCCACTTGAAAGAAGATTTCTTTGCTTCCACATATAGAGTAACTCCTATTAAAGCCTTTGGCCACTTTCGGGGGAGGGGGGGGTGGTAGATTAATAGCTATGCCATATATTATATATGTTATAGGTAACATATATGCACGTACACCGGAGACTCACTCAGACCTGAGATCTTGGAAGAAGACAACCCACCCTGTTCACAGCCGGGATCTCTGACTTGGCAGCAACAGCTCCGGGGAACAGTCTTCCGCAGCAGCGCGCATCCAACTCCCGCTCGGGATCCCCCCGTTCATCCCACACCGCCGCCTC